GAAATGCGAACTCCGGCCACAATCATGCACGGAATCGAAATAGAACAGGTAGGAAATTAAACATGTCGTAAAATATACGTCATTTGCTGAGGTTAGGTTCAAGCCAGGAACAAGATCCTATGGCGACAATCACATAGGGTGGTTAAGTTAGGGTTGATTAGGGTACGGCAAAGTTAGTTCAGGTTAGGTCAGACTATGTTAGGATAGGTTACGTTAGGTTAGGTTGTGTTGGGTTAGGTAAGGTTAGGCAAGGTAAGGTTAGGTGAAGTAAGGTTAAGTGAGGTAAGACTAGGTTAGGACAGGTTAGGATATGTCAGGCTGTGTTCAGTTCGGTTAGGTTATGTTAGAGTTTTTTGGCTAGGTAAAACTAATGTAAGATTGTTTTAAACACTAATGATACACACAGGAAAAGGCCACAATTGGGGGATTGCTGTGTGTCGTAGGAAATGTGTGGCAAGAAGAAGAAGAGAGAAAAAGAAAAAAAAAGTAAAAAAAAAGTTTAGCGGCTGATCTGGTTAGGCATTGGGAAATGGTACTGCTGTACTCATTACACTCAGTGAGGTCCCTGCTATCTACTGCCACGATTTTAACTCGGCACGAGAGTTTTTAAATTTCCAAAGACGGTCAACTCACGGACGTTCCCTCTCTTCCTGGCTCACGACAGCCGGACTGGTCCTGCTCCGCCACAACGTTTGCACCAATGAAACCAAGCCACTTGTTAATGAAGTAGACTTGATAGATTGCAATCCCACCTTCGTCCATGTGAAATACCAAGACGGGCGAGAGTCAACTGTATCGGTACAAGACTCCATGTCCTCAAAATGCCCACGCGATAAACAATCTTTGATGGATAACGGAAATTACAGTTAGCAGATTAAGATGACTTTACCTAGTCGGGCTCTCACTCCTCCTGAGTCATTCCCACAACATGCACCACCGCAGGATGTTGCAGACCCATAACCCGTGTCTTCGAAGCCCTTGCAGCGAGAAGAGAAGCCATCGTCTCCCACAATCCCAAAGTCAACTCGAACACGAAGACCTCCTGAGCTTTATGGTTATGAACAGACGAAGAAGGGAATAAATAAATACCTTTCTTGTAATGATGCTCACTTCTGTACTGCGTTATATTGGTTTGTAACCTGTGACTGATAGTTTGTTTTTAGCAACAAAATTTGGAAGGAAAGAATGTCGAAATGAAGAACAAGTTTTACTATGTCACATCACGACGTAATGTGATTAGACTCCGGCGTTTGTTAGCAGTCTCTATGCAGTATAATGTAAGTATACTTTCTAAACCTTAGTCTCTACTAAATGTTATTTTGTTATTTAATGTTATATTGTTCTGTGTTGTGTTGATATAAGTTTCTTCGGAAGTTTTTCATCATTCTTCCAGGTAACTAGGCATTTGTTGAATAAAGCTTGGATTACCCAAGTTATTGCCTTCCCGATTCCTCAACACTCTTCATAGATTCATAACTGTTCTGTCTGACAAAAACTAAAATTAATACTAATAGAAATGCTAATGAAAATAATTTTTTTCATAATTTCTTATACTTCCCAAAGTTTATGCATTCAAATCTCCAATGACCAATGAAAGTACAAGATTGGATCTTATCTTAAAGCAGTAAATTTAAATGAGGTTAGGGTAAACTAAATGTAATCACCTGAGATCAAATGCCACTCAGTGTGCTAACGCACTTTTTGGAAGGATTGATTGATGAAAAAAGATGAAATCAGTTGAAGGCGAATGCTTCAGACGGAATTAAAGTAAGAATAGTTGAAGATTGGTGCGTTGAAGTAAGAGTAAAGGTAAAGCGATTCGGCGTGAACTCACGGTTGAATGCTGGTGAAGTAGCGGTGGCGGACAACAGGCTTGCTGGAGATCACGAAATTTGGTGTGGCTACGGCGGTGTATTAGTGCGAACATTTTCTATGCGGAAAACCTTGTCTAACCTAAATTACATTAAACTTATCCTAGATTAATCATATTAATACCAAAACATAAATTATAACTAAATTCAGTTCAAGGAATAGAAATGTAATGAACGGTGGGAAATTTCCCACACTTCAGCGATTTACATTTTCCTTGAACGTCTACGAGATAGCCATGATTTCTCTGGTTATATATAAGCACACTGAACGCGAATCACACTTCAACTCTAAAAGCTTGTCTTGCGTCAAAATTTCTCAAAATTTAATCATGTGATATTATTGAAACATCACGTGATAAATGGTATAAAACATTGCTAAATATCTACTAAGTCTTTTACAAGCCAGACTGTTGCACAAATAAAGATAAATCACGCTCCAAATTCCAGCGTCAAAACTTCAGTAACAAATTTCTTCAATCTTCGTGCACAGATTTTTATTAACGACGCTGAGTAGTTGAGTATAGCAAAAACTTTGTCTTGAGTTCTCACGTAATGTTGTTACACGGTCTTGTCTCCGGTGGGCCAATCTAACGTAACATCTCGATACGTTGCTAGGCAGGGCGGCCCAGTGGTTACAGTTCAGAGTACCAGGATAGGAGTAATGAGTTCCGGGTTACATCCCAGCTTCCTGCGACAGTTTTGGTCAAAATTGGCAAGGTGGCCGGGCGATTAAGAATCGGCATCAGTCCAATTATGCTTAATCCAAACTACTATGCTACATTAAAGAGGATATCCCTCGTTTGATACTCAAGCACTTGAGATACAAAAACATACAGCAAGTAGTAGTAGTAGAATGGTTTGCTAGCGCTCTACCTAACAAACTATTTAACAACGGAGGTAAAAAAGAGAACATTGCCAGCAGGCCGACAGGTCTCAATTATTTTGTCTCAAATTAAACATCACCCACAAAGGACGGATGTCTCAGATGTCCAGCCCGCTGAAGCTGGCTCGAGAGAAGCAGCGTTAGCATCTCAAAGAGACGAAGTGACAAGGAAGGACAGGTGAAGAGCAGCAGAAATGAAGACACTCGAATAAGAGGTCGCTTACACTGGACGTCGGCTGCTCGCACGAGAAAGAAAGAGAAGGGAAATGTAGGGAATCCTACCTACATAATAACTCATCCCCACAACCGAGCTGCTACTGTGAGTTCCGTGTTTAGGCGCTCATGAACAATGCCCCTACCCCTAGGAATGCAAAATCACATAGGACTTTTGACAAGCACAGACACACGTCAAAAGTCCTCCTGAGTGTCAAGCCGTGTGTTAGGGCTTGTGCGAGGCCGTGTGTCAGGTCGTGTCTTAAGCCGTGTGTCATACCTGACACGCGGCCTCGGGAACAACAAAGAACTAAGGCCATCAACTAGAAAACTCCAAACTCACAAACATAAACTCGAATATCTATCGACAGGTAACTTAATAGATATTGGAGTGGGATTTACCACCGATTTCTGGCTTGCGGTTGTTTGGCATTAGTAATAAACCGTGCGTAAGAGCATTAAATTTAACTCGTCAGAAGAGATCTGCCTAACTCTGGCAAATGTACATCCTTAATTGGGAAATCACAGCTTCACTGAATGTGCAGGTAACGTAAAACTATAAGTTATTACTATGTACACACAATTATTATCACAAACTACAAGCCTATAGTTGCTCATCTACTATTCAATATTAATTTCTGAATTAGGAAAAATCCAAGTTATTCAAATTTACATGCATGAGTAAAATGCAATAAAAGTAGAATATATGTCTAAAACAATTGCTGACAGCATCAATGTACCACAACGAAAAGTTGCCAGCATCCTCCACCAAATCGGAACGCCCAGCCCACGAACAAAGCGCCCGGCATCATGTCAGCTCACAGTCAAACCATCTGACATCAAATTAGTCCAAGATCAAATGCCACAGAATGGAACAGGACAGCACAAACAGTTGCACGGGTGCAACAGAGCGCTGGACAATATGCATGATGGATGTGTACCTGTACCTAAAATTTATTTTAGTCTAATGATAAAAAAAAATAAATTAAAAATGTCTGGAAACCGAGCTCAGTAATGTGTAACCCAAAATATTCTTTTGAGCAGCTAGGAACGGATTCTTTTGAGCTGCTAGGATCACGGGTTACACCAAAAACATGTTGTGATGTTAAGTTACTATCGCTTATTTCAAGAACCAGCGTACACTTGCATTAGATGTATGGAGTATCAGAAACCATCAACATTCTTTGAATAGAAGTCGCTCTCAAGTGAAGTCGGCTCATCGTTAACTTCGGTCTTGATCTCCATCTTTAATTTGACATAAGCGCCCTCAGGTGACGAGGGCTCCCTCTTGACGTCCATATCCATAGGTTCTTGCTTGATGAAGTTCATGACTTCAGTTTTGTCATCAGGAAAAGTAGCTGATCCACTAGTGGCAGCAAGGACAGAAGAAGAGCTTGTCATTGTGGAGGTACCTAGCGAGGAAGACTGGAGGCACAAGTTGCTGCTGTCGCTAACAGCAGAGCTGGATGAAGCGGCTATATTAGGAGCTTCAGAGATGTATGACAGCGAAGTGTTCGAGATGTCACCTCCGCTGCACGCAGCAACTTTTAGAGGAGCAGAAATGGGGATGTTTTGGACATTCATGGTGATTGAAGTGTAAGGTGGAGGCGCGAGCTGCAGTTAGAGAGATTTGTTCAAAGAGGGAGCCGTGGTGCTTACGCCTCCAGGAAAGATGGACGAGCAAGATGAAGCAATTAACGAGCACAGCAGAATATTGACGGGAGACGAGCGAATTGAAGACGCCAGATTTGGGGAGAAGTTCATATTACATTGTAGTGATGAGAGATTGGCTGCATAGGTACGTTAAGATGATAGAGGAGCTGTTGTAGACCTGCTGCTGCTGCAAAGGGTTGCTTGACACCATTATGGGTGACGCCGCACCACGAACAAGAACACCGGGAACAACCCCAGCGTTCATGGGTTTCACTGCGACAGACCCCATGGGTTGTTGTTGTGAAATTACACAAGCTGGAAAATAAAGTAACATAAGCATTGCTAAACAGCTAGATTCATAACATAAAATGTTATCTGATGAACATAAACAATGAAAATAAATGTCATACAAAAATATTTAATTTGAAGTGATAATTGTGTCCACATCGCAATACACCTACAAGGGACAAGAATGGCTCAGGGATATCAAATATTGCTCAAATGAGAAGGCAGAAATTGAAATAACCTACAGTGTATGTAGCCAAAATAAAGATATTGATGAATCTGCTTTCTCTTACCTGGTCATAACCATAACGGTCAGGTAATTCCCGTTGTAATTGCTTCTGTTGTTGTAACTGGTGTAGTTTTTGTTGTTGCTGCTGAATCTTTTGTAACTGCTACAGCATTAGGTGTTGCAGTTGTTGTTCTAGCTGCTGCAGCTCTTGTTGCTGCAGCATCTGTTGTTGTCTCTGCTGCAGATTTCGTTGTCGCAGTTCGTCTTCTAGATGCTGCAGCTTTTGTTGTATCCGTATCACCCGTTGTCGTAACTGCCGCAGCATTTGTTGACGCATTTCCTGCTCTAGCTGCTGCAGTATCTGTTGTTCTAACTGCTGCATTGTTTGTTCGGGCTGCTGCAGCATCTGTTGTTGTTGCGGCATCTGCAATTGCTGCGGCCATTGTTGTTGCTGCTGCAGATGTTGTTGTTGCTGCAGTATCTGTAGTTCTAACTGCTGCATTGTTTGTTCGGGCTGCTGCAGCATCTGTTGTTGTTGCGGCCATTGTTGTTGCTGCTGCAGATGTTGTTGTTGCGGCATCTGCAGTTGCTGCGGCCATTGTTGTTGCTGCTGCAGCTGTTGTTGCTGCTGCAGATGTTGTTGTTGCTGCAGCTGTTGTTGTTGTTGTTGCTGCAGCCGTTGTTGTTGCTGCAGCTGTTGTTGCTGTTGCTGCAGCTGTGGTATCATCTTTTGCGGCTGTGGTATTTGCTGCAAAGAATCTGCCGAGATGAAGAGCATTTACTATTTATTCACTATTGAACAATTTTTTAAACAAAAAACATGACTTTTATTGCATTTTTTTGTTTGATATCTATCACTATATATGCTCATGACAACACATACAAAACAGAAGTATATAGAGACAGAAAAGAGCAGACGAATTGCAATGGAGTTTAGGAGCACTGGATTTACACTTTATGGAGACAAGCCAGGCAAGTAACAGCTTCTCTGCAGGATTATATTATAAAATTATAATCCTCTCACAAGACTAAACTAACATCATTTATAATTATGAGTCTGGAAAGAGGAAAGCTCAAGTGAGTAAATATAATTCAAGCTGCAGCCACACAAATAATAATTAAAAGTCAGGCAACACCAGTGGAGCATATTAGAACATAGCAGCAAACAAGAGACTGTTTAGTTGTCCTTCCTGCTCGAGTCCTATGAGTAGATCGGTCTAGTAACATGGATATCAGCATCATTAATAGATACCGTCAACTAGGGCAACTCGGGACTGGCGGGGAAATTCGGGACGCACCTCTGACACGTCGTAAAACAGTCATAGTAGCGAAACTAATTAGAATATTGCTAAACTAAAAATAGTGGCCTAAACAACAACATTTTTCCTATCTATGTAGTATAAAGGAAGTCGAAAAATACGACATTTACTAGCTTTTAAAAATTCCTGAAAAAAATGGTGAAAAATGCTATTTGAAAAGTTACTTCTGCTAAGGTCTGTAGCAAAAAAAAATATTTGCCGTATTAAAAAATTTTACTGACATAAAAGTTGCACCCAGGTGTCGGCTTGAAAACGTAATTGACAGATTTTGCTTATCTCATTAAAAAAAAATGGCGGCCATTTCCGCAAGGCGGGGCTACTCGGGACACCCCCCCGGGGCTATTCGGGACACCCCGGAAAGCACATTTACAGTAGAACCTCAGTTAGCAAAGGCTCCAGTTAAGAAAAAAATTGATTACAAACAAAGAATATTGATTACATTTACCTCGCTGAGCAAAAAAATAAGTTCACTTATCGTCTCACAAATTACAAGCCGTCCTGTAAGCTTACAGATACAGAAAAAATGCTATGATGCTGCTGATATGAAGCTTGCAGTGGACAAGGTTGTTGTAAATGCTCAATGGCATGTTTATGGATACCCTAATATCACATCAATAATACAGTAATATCCCATCAATAATACGGTACCGTCAACTGGGTGATTCGGCCGTGTTCATAATGATGGCCAAAGTGGGGTAATAAATGGTCATAAACAGTGGCCAAAGTCACTCAGGCGTTTATGACCTGGTTTACAACCCTGGCGTTTATGACCCCGGCGTTTACGACCCCGCGTTTACGACATGAATCAAAAACACAGCCGAAGTCACCCCAGTTGACGGTAATTAATGTTTATGGTAATATCATATCAATGAAGGAAAAACTAGTAAAAGTCACAGAAAATGTCATTTATTCTACCTCTACATTGTCTACAATGAAAGAGGAGGACTTCAGAGTACTGTTAGTAATGGATGAGTACGTAAGCTCTGCATGCTTCAAATATTTTAAAATGAAGTTTTATTCCCAGTGTCCCGTTCGTTTTATTCCCGATCGGGACACTCTTTTTTTGCTTTTGGCACCTTACGAATAGCATATGGAATTTTTTTGAAGATGCCATTCGATAGCCCTCGCAAAGAGCTATAAAATGAGCCTAAACTTGTTTATGAAATGTTTCATCGTAAGAAGTTATTAACAAAAAACGCTCAAAACCGTCCCGAGTAGCCCCGGTTGACGGTATTCAATATAATTTTGAAGTATATGAGGTAATTGAAATGAACTGATTTCTAAAAATCTCTTCTTTGCTTGTGGCCACTATTTGTGGATTCTGGTATATTCAGAACAATTTGACAAAAATTACGGCCTGTGATAATTAGAAAATTACCTGCAATTTGCTGGTAAGAATGTTCATTTCACTTCTCATGAACTAGAAGTAAAAAGTAAAAATTACAGGATTTTTTGACATCAATATAGTTTTTTAATTATTTGATAAACCTGATTCACACTTGCACCAGAACAAATAAGTTGAAAAAGTTTATTGCATGAATAATTTCCATCTAATATTAAGTATTCTGAACAAGAGGTAATCACTAATTTTGGAATTAATGCATACTCATATTTCCTTCATAATGATCTAGAAAAGTTTGATAGTCCATTAATTCATGATATGTATGACTGTATAGAAGTTTTAAAATAGCATATTTATTATTAAATTACTATATCTATTCAATATTCATGGTACAAGGTAAATTAGATACAAATCAAGAGATGGGTTGTGCTGGTGGGGGGCATGTTGCCAGGAGGCATCTATCCATATTTTCTGCCCTACTACCTGCTCTCTATAGATGAATCACTTAGTAATTATTGTCAAATGTATGTTTTCGTTTTGTTCTTTTCAGCCTGTAAATTCACAATATTTATGGCAACTTGGCCAATTATTGTTATAGTGATTAGGGGACTATGCAAATAAAATTGTTGATTCCTTAATTGACGAGTCTTTAAGTGGAACTGCCAGAAGTTGTTAGTGAGTTTAGTTAGGTGTGATCCTTTTAATTGCAAAGATGTTTTGTAAGTGTCATGTAATTTTACTACCTGCTAATCTGAGTAATTAGCTTTGTTTGCGCTTTACTTATCATCCAATGTTAATTGCAGGAATGTAGAAGCAAAGAAAACACCCAAAATATTCACCATTTTTCAAAAATGGAAACGTTTTGGAGTCCAGCTCCATCATCAGTTCATCATCAGTGTTGCTGACCTATGGATTTTGGAATCCCTAAATATTTTTAAACAGAAACCTAGCTTAAGAGGAATGTCTTGGTCAAATTTTGACAAATTTCACTTTTTTGGTTTTTATACTTATCTTAAAGCATTCATTCTGACACATCTAATGGTACCAAAACCATCTCTGTACATTGATTTATGTGTTCACGACAGAACGCGAAAGGGTTAGAGGTGGTGGAGTTCTTTCACATTTAAGATAGGCTGAAATTACGGGTAGCACACTTAAATAGCTAGACTGAACACACTGTGCTTCAGTTATCTGCCTGCAGTTGTATGGGATGGTCCTCGTGCAGTCGTTCGCACCATCCTCGACAGAAATTGAGCTCCAGTATTGTCTAGTCTTGCAACCTTGAATGTCTATTTTAAGGTGCGCAGGCTCTACTGAAAAGTTAAATTTTTGTCACTGGAAAACTATCCTACAATTTTGAAGCTACAGCAATGAGAGATACATCATTTGATTTGTAAATTAAAGCTCTCAAAATGATGTTTTCACTTTTTTCAATTTTGATATAGTTTGGATTAGATTTTGCTAAAAGGTGGAGCGGAGGGGGGAAAAATAAAAAAAAATGACAAAAAATCCCCCACACCCATAAAGTTCAAAATTTGGAAAAAAAGAAACATACTTTTTAAGATATGATCTTTACAAATTGAATGATACGTGTCTTGATGTTGTAGCACAATAGGTATTTGTACGAGATAGATTTTTGAAGTACCCCCTTCTTTCCATTTTCTATCAATTTCACATTTCCTTTCATTTTTTGAAAAAAACTACAAAAAGTTCTTAGATTTCTGTTTTACATATGTGTACCAAGTTTCAAAGTGATCCGTCTGTAAATAAAAAAAGTTTTTCTGCGACTGAGACACTCCCCTTAAATGCAGCCTTCAGCCCCTATCCTCTTGAAATTGTAAATAGATAGGCCTGTCACCTTATGAGTATTTGTTTTTTAGTTAGTCAATTTACGTTTTTATCCTCGATGTGAATTTAGTTTTCTAATTGATTCTGCTTTTCTTATAAGTTTTGAACTTTTGAACTGATGATGGTGCTGGACTCTTATTTCCATTTCATTTCCCATTTCCATTTTCATTCTTAAGGAATGATGAATATTTGGCTGTTTTCTTTGCTTTTAAATTCCTGATATACATATGATTAAAGCAATCTAGTGATTTTAATGTTCATTGCCATTCTTATGTCACCTGTCATTTGGTTGCAATTTATTCTTGAATTTTTTGCTTTTGTGTATTTATCTTAAAAACTTCACAACTTTTACAAATTACTTGAGCGGTTCATCCTGGTTCTGGTTTTAGCTTATCTTTGCAAATGTTTTACTGATTTCACTCCAAATATTATAATGTTTGTCTGTTTTGTTTTTAACATTTTTTGCTTCATGTATGCAACCAGCTTGATATCAATTAAGAACATATTTTAGGGTTTTCTTGCATCAGTTTCAACACCAAATTTCCCTTCAGGCATAGTATTATTATCATCTAGTTGGACAGGTTATTAATTTATGTATTATTTATTTTTCAGTTCACTAATGATGGAATAACTGGTAACCCTGTCCATGCTCCCTATCCCTAATCCTAACTCAGAACTCCTGAATGCAATTAAACTTATCCACTCATTACACTGTACCATAACCACCCAATAATAGCTATTATCTCATTAATCATTGTCAATATATTTTTATTTCAATTTGTAACAATACAAGACACCAGTCTTTCATTTGCCTTTTAACATACTAGATAAAAGGGTTGTTGCCAAACCTAACTCAAAGTAGGTAAAATGATTACCTCACCTGCAATGTGAGACATATACCCGACAACAATATCATCACCCAGTATTTTGGGTTGCACAACATTCTTGAGCATATAGGGCCCATATTGACAGGTTGTACAATAAATTGTGGTATTTTAAAGTCTTGAGAATATATTGCACAAACTAGAAAAACTTTGGCTCTCTAGGGGCAGCATTGCAAAATAATTGCTCTGTGCAGATATGCAGTTGCTCAAAGTGGTTGAATCAACCACATGTCCTAATCACACTCAGTGAAAAAACATCTTCTGGACTTTATTGAGCATTATTGCTTTAGCACAGTTTAATGGGATCTCAAATTGAAATATTATACTAATCATTCAAAGAAGTAGGAGCAGTATGAGAAGCTAATTAAGAAGGAGAGTGCAGTCATGCACCACAAATTTTTTGCACCAATCAGCCCTGAATAGAACACATAGCATATTTCTGTAAAGCCACCAATTGGCCGCATATTAATCCTGTCATCTGTAACTAGCCCATGACATGTTTTAAAAATCAAGAGCTTCATGCCACCATATTATGAAGCAAGTAGCCCAGTGTGTAATGATCGTCTACACTTGAGAGTTACATTGATTCATCACTGCATACCCTGACTTTAGCTTGAACTGCAACCAGTGCACAACAGACTGCAATCAATCAGTCTAGCTAGCCAGTGGAACTGTGTGAATCCTGCCGTGCACCACCAGACGGTCACTTTAAGCTCACAGCATCTGGGTTAGGTTTCAGATAACATAGTTCTGTTCCAAAATTTATCATCCTTCAACAAGTGGCCATTCAATCATAAGCTGATTCTACACACGGGACAGATACGAACAGGTCAGTGGCAGGCATCATATTCACTGTAAGGGTACCCACACAGTGAAAGCAGGTTTGCCTGTGCGGGCAACCTGCCACAAGAATGAACATAGGATAATAATGTTAGTGTTCACAGTGAAAACCTGTACCAATAGTTGGCAGAAGCCTATTAGTACAGATTTTCACTGTGAACACTTACATTATTATCCTATGTTCATTCTTGTGGCAGGTTGAAACCATAGCATACAGAAGCCTATTCGTACAGGTTTTCACTGTGAACACTTACATTATTATCCTATGTTCATTCTTGTGGCAGGTTGGAGCAGGTTGCCTGCACAGGCAAACCTGCTTACACTGTGTGGGTACCCTAAGGCTCTGGCACACTATCTGGTTGGAGTAGAATTTTTCTGCATTGGCAGACGATGCTGGGCCATACTTCATCAGGCTACTTCCTGTGGGCTGATTGATCTAATTCAATGGATGTGATCTGTGTGGTGGCTTGTGGCAGATAATGTTACAGACAAGAAGTGTTATAAGCTACATTCTTTAGGGAAGAGATTATGAAAGCCCATTTGAAGCACGGCAGTGGTGGTCTCCAACAGGCATCCCATTAAAAAGCACTCTCAGTTTTCAACTAAACAACTAACTTTTCTTCGTAACCTTATCCCCTACGGTACATCGTTTGGCGAAATTGTCCTTTCCTGCAAGCCTTCTGTCAGGGGTGCCCCTTCTGGGCTAGTTACTGATGGCAGGGTTAATATGTGGCCGATTGGTGGCCTTACGAAAATATAGGTGTTCTATTTGGGGCTGATAGGTGCACAAAATTGGTGGTGCACAGCTGCACTCCTTTCATATTTTATACAAAAGCGATTTGTGGCACATCAATAATGTCCCACAATTTAGTTTTGCTCAACATGTTGACTTAATGAAAGTCTGGCAGGGACCATTAGCACAATAGGATTGTATGTCAGAGGAGGTGATTGCAAAATTTCTTAATATGCCTCCTAGTCAATCTATATTATCACGCAATAATACTGATTGTCTTGGGGCTGCCATCAATCTATTTTACAAGCAATTTTGTGTGTCTACTGACTTTTTTATACATGACCTTTTTGCTAATTTTTTGTGCTAGGGATACCAGATTGCTAGCTCCACATAACAGAAATATAACAAATTTTTTTATCCAAAACAGATTAATACCGATGACTTTAATGAAAATGATCATCAGAAATGTTTGTTAGAACAAGAGAATCATTATAATAATGAATTTGTTTTGTGTGCCTTGCGTTCAGAATAAAATTAAGCCTTCCAAATATTTTTTTTATTCAGAGTTTTATTTTCAAAATTAGTAGTTCTAGTTGCTTTCCAATTGTATTAGTTCTAAATAATTGCTAACAAAACAGTCTATGCCTATCATTACAAATTGGCCACATGGGTTGTAATGCACAAATGTCCATGCTGATCATTGTTCATTGGCCATAGCAATTGCAATGCAATTACATCCCTCTCATTCATCACGCATTGGCCATATAAATCATAATGCACAAACGTCCCTGCCTATCATTGGGCATCGGCCATCTCAATCAAAATGTGCATATGTCTGTGCCAATCATTGGGCATTAGACACTTCAACTGTGAATTGTAATCTATGGAGAAGCACAATTGGCTACCACTGTCCAGTGGCTTCCACCTTGATCATACCTTTGCATCTTTGGTGCAATGAAACTGGTCTCTTCAACCTATTTTGTGACATGCTTTACAGTCTGACAATTGAGAACTTTGTAGTTTTCCATTGTAGTTTTTGAGAGATGAATACTTTTTGTTTAGGCCCTATATGGTTGTATTTGTGGATGGCATGGGATGCCAGTGAGGTAAATATTTACTTTCTGAACCGCAACTGGATTTTTTTGCACTGTGGTTTTATGGATTTTCAAGTAGTGATTCTATTTCTTCGAGCCATGAATTCCATATCTTGGCCATTATGCATCACAAAGAACCATTTACGAGCTGCAAACTCATTTACAAAGGCCTGTGCACCAAACCTCTAATCTTACTTTAGAAACAGCAACACTAACATTTGTCTTTACTTTAGTGGGAACTGAACACATGATTGTCATGTCCAGGTGTGACAACTGACCAGTCCAACCTGTATAAGGTCATTTACTGCACCTCAAAGACAGCATCATCATCTGAACTCTTTATAATGCAGTTAGGCTGCTGTGATGAGACTGCAACTAAGCAATCTTCAAGGAAACATTCATCTATTTGATGTGTGTATGCAAGTCTTCCAACAAGGAAGCCCATTTTTTGATGTTTGTTGACTCATGCTTGAATAACTTGATTGCGATTAATTTTCTTTGCCCTATTATTTGAATATATCTTAATAAATTCACTTCAAATTCTGAATGATTTTGTCTGCCATCCCTCGTTTTCGAACATTTTGTGTCTTTTAGAAAATGTTTGTTGTTTAACATGGGAAACTATTTCATTATATAAAACATAGAGCACGTACCATATACATATAGTCCATTAATAATACAATTTAATTTGATAAAAATTAATTTTTAATTCAAAAAATATAATCAGATTTTTAATTTAACATTTTTCTAATAGAATTTAATTCTACAGCATGTACCATCTAGTGTATTAAATAATAAAATTTGATTTAGTAAAATTTAATTTTAATTAATTTTTCAATTTAATTCAATTCTACAGCTTAAACCAGTAAAAATGAGCATCATAGGAATGAAAGTAAAACTGTTGTTCATACATCACAAATTGAATGACATTGGATGGATTTGATGGGCATTTTATTAATCCTGTTTATATATAAGAATGGAAATGACGCTTCTATTTCAGAATGATAATGGAAATGTTCCTACTATTTCAGAAACTTTTCTTGAATACCGGTACACTTCTGAAAACTAAAGTTCTGCAATCAATGGAGTCTTTGAAATGACAAAATTGTTCAATTTAAAATTTTTAGCTATAAGAGTGAGATCGTCATTCATCAATATGAGGAGCTTTCATTCATCATTCATGAGGAGCTGTAAAAAATTATAGAAAATCATTGTTTTTGATGTAAAAGAATGTTCTTCAATTAAAAGAAATGCTATACTTGATTTTTGGGAAATACAATGCTAAAATTAACGATCCGTATTAGAATTCAATAGATATTACGATTTCAGAATTATCTTCAAAAAGTTTGTTTTCATTTGTTTGATAAGAAACAGAAAAAGTTTTCGTTCGTTTGATCAGAAACAACATAATTATTCATTCTCTTGCACTAAGTATACGAATGATTAGTTGGACTCCGTTACAGTCCGCATTGATCATCCCACTAGATTATGCACTGGGAACGGGATGCGGGAAAGAAGCTAGGTATGTCAGGTGATCTTCTATCACCCTCTATGTTATCATACGTCACCCTCTTATAACATGTTCTGTACCCACATGGTAGAGTCACACTCAGTGACGTCATCCCTGTTAAAGCAAACTAATATCAGATAACGCCAAGGAATTTACCAGCGATCTGATGAAAGGCTTGTACGATAACTATCGTATCGAAAAAGTTGAAATCGCGCCCTATCATCCGTCCAGTTCCGGACTGGTTGAGAGAAAAAATCAGAACATAATTCGAGTACTTAAACATTTCGTTGAGGCGGAAGGTTCATGCGAATGGGACCTGTTCTTGCCTGAAGCAATGAGTGCGATTAACACAGCATTTAACGTAACAATAGGTGACACGCCTCATTACGCGCTATTTGCTACAGATAAAAATCACCCTGCAGCTGTTGACGCACGCGAGCAAGAAGCTCCTATCTATAACTACCAAGACTACTACCGTGTAGCCACGCATAGATTCGCAAAAATCCGCGAATATCTCAAACAGGTGCTCAACGAAAGCATGGACGAGTATTTAAATCAAAAAAACAAGAAAACTAAACTTCGCACGCTTTCTAAAGGTCAACGCTGTTTTGTTCGTCATGTGTCTAAAGAAAATGAATACAAAAAATTTTGCGCAAATTTCGATGGACCATACTTAGTTAAGGAAAAAATTAGTAACAGCGTGTACAATGTTGAACACACCGTGACGGGAAAGATTCGTCGCTGTCACATCGATAATATACTTGCTGGTTAACTATGGCTTTTCTACTCAAACGACAATCTTATTACAAAAGAACCCTCAGGATAATTCTTGAACCGCAGCTTGCAGCTGGCGAGCCTTAGAGCTGGGCCATAAAAGTCTGTAGGCAAACGAAACTAATTGAAGTCGCGTCTTCGTGGTCTAAGTAGAAATACAATAAAATTGAACACTACGTGGAGACGTTCTGACGAGACCGCGGAAATAAAAAGAAAAGATTGTTAATTTTGTTATAAAGAGGAAAGTCAGCGGTAATAAATATATGCGTTGAACGTTTTTAATTAATTTAAAAATAATGGACAAAATATTTATTCTTCTTGAATTACCTAAAGAAATAAGGGGAATCCGCAATTGCAAATGTCTCGAAATTCTAAGGTTACTACTAGATTACGGAAAGTTTCAATTATCAAATGAAGTTAGGCATTTTTTTCCCCTTCAATGCTAACTAGTGACGAATTCGATAATGTTTTTTTGTCGGAGCGCATACGCAGGAAAAATAAAGATAAAGGAAATAGTAGTGAATGGAGCATGCAGAAAACCGTACAGAATACGATGTATCGAGTAGTGATGTATCTAGCTCTGATGTATTCAATTGCTATATATCAATCGAAAATTCTCAAATTAGGGTATCTGTGGTCAGAGGGAATAAAAGTAAACCTCAAACAATTTGATACGGTGGAGGCTTCATTAGAGCTTAGACCTCATGCGATGGTTAACTATATGATATGGTTTTTCTTTTGGTCATACAAATGATGTTTTTTTTAATAATGTAGAGGAGAACCCTCGGAGACAGACGGTTACCTCGGTCACGGTTAACCGAGAATATTAGAGCTGGGGACTGAATGACTGGTCATACCCAAGCTCTGTGGTGGTGGTTTATGACCATGAAGCTCACGTCAAAAAAGAAAGTAAAGAGACTTAGAAAGAACCCGACCGCTAACCGCTTATGTCGTATTATGATTTCTTTATGGGGAAATAGGAATATTGTTGTAAGTAATTGGTTTATTTTTTTACGAACGTTAGGATCTCTGTTTAATCATGCTAAAATGTTGTACAACTCTGTTAGTCAGTGGATGTGTATTAAATTATGTTTTTACAGGAGTCTTGGCCTGCCGACCGCGAAGTGCATGGCGCTGGTAGAAACTCTGTAAAGTGGCATTAGCTGCTCGACTTTGTTCGACCCGCTCTATATCTGCGGTCTCGTCGACACGCAGCTACAGCTACTCAAGACAGCAAATAAGACCGTAAGTGGATCGCATTCCTTAAGACTAATGAATTTAAAGTTGTATTGTTTTGTCTTAGACTTGATCAAGGACGCAGAAGAAATGGTAAGTCGCGTTCGAGAAGCTGTCCTCGAGCTTGGCTTTGCCGTAAAGGTTTTGTAAACCACTTAATTTTAAAAGTAAGTTTTTTTATTCTAAGGGAAATTGTCATCGCAAACGCTGCTTGCGATACTCCAACTTCTGTGGGGGGATAGGGAAGTGAGTTCACTCCATTTTATGACCTCCTTGTCGTTCACGGTGAGAAAATAATCATCGCTGGTTCGCAGTAAGATAAAATATGTCATCGATAGGATATAACTAAACTTGCGTGCTAACAAACTCTACAGCTCATAACAATGTTATATAAAATAATTCTATATACCTGTGCATTGTTTTTTTTACTGTTAGTCTTATAACGAAATTGTAAGCGTACCTTAAGTACCTTGGCACTCTGTGAACCAATTCTTATGCTTACATGATCAAGACTAATTAATACAAGTTCATTTAACATAAATGATCATATTAATGGCTATCCTCTAACAAAGCCAAAAATTTAACGTAACGTAATAATATTGGTCTGATCCACTTATAGTCGGGTGTTTATTCTGTTTAAATTTATTCAGTTAATATACCAATATTAATGCCTTGCCTACGTTTTCCCGAGCGTGAACTTTTTGTTCTCGCGAAGATTAGCACAAGACCGAAGACTCAAGAGGACTTTGCTACACCTGTGCCGAAGTCCAGGAGACCCAAGATGTTCTTCTCTTAGATTAAGTCTCACTTTAAGCTCTTGTGTTTGTCTAATCGAGCTAAAATTAATTATGCTAATTCCGCACTTATTGCGTATGGCTACGCTAAGGCGTCTCTAATTAATTTTTTTTAATTTCGGCCTACAATTGGAACTGATCGAGGTCGATCAAAAATAAACTTTACTCACGGGGGGGGAGATGTCAGGTGATCTTCTATCACCCTCTATGTTATCATACGTCACCCTCTTATAACATGTTCTGTACCCACATGGTAGAGTCACACTCAGTGACATCATCCCTGTTACGGCCTATATATATCTCGATCTGTGCACCGCTCGTCAGTCGCAGCGGTACTGCCTAGCCGTCATCTTGCTAGCCGCTCCTCCAGCACGTACTTGTGCTGTCTGTCAATCCCCTTACTTCTGTACTCACCGAGCCACTCTATCAATATTATAATAGATCTAGTGTTAACCGTTCGTTTCACTGATCCTGCCATAGTCATACTTGGAACTAATAGTATCCTGACTCTCAGTTACTAATCTATCGGGGGTCACAGAAATAGACCCCGGACAGGTATTTAATTCAGTTGCACATTAGTCGACGTGATATGTAGTTCTGCTCGATTGAACTCTGAATTG